GTGTGTGTGTGTGTAAATTGTCAGTGTAATATAGAAAACAGCACAAGGGGCACCACATAAATTCTTGCCTGTTAGCAAAATATCTCATGAACCACTGGATGTATTTCAATGAAACTCCCAGAAGCTATCAATTTTACATCTACCACTCATTAACATTTGAAGTAAACCCAATTGAAGATGTATGCTGCTTCTTTTTAACCTTAGCATTCTCAAAAATAGCTATACCTCAGTGAATTTTACAGGTAAGGAGCTGGGATTTGSTGTGGTATAGCTGACAGTCATTCCCCAACACATATTTAAAGTGATAATTCAAAGCAGATAATGCAACATTACATCACATGTTACATGAGATTGTGATTGATTTTAGTCTCATAATACAARCATGAAAGGTGGTGGGTAATATGCAGTCCTTAAAGGAATACTTGGCCTTTGGCTTTAATGGACCCASTGTGCATTCCCTGTGTTGTTGCATTTCACTTTAAACAACCTAAAGCACTCCTAACATCAGTTTCCTTTTCATAGCTTGAGCTCCTTTTATTTCAGACTTCAATGCACTTTTTGTTTTCACAAAAAAACCAAAGTTTCGACTATGTTTGCTGCATCAGTAGGGAGTCGAGCAGCCACTGGGTATGGAGATGTTGTTCTGGATAATTGGACGTTAAGCACTATAGAAGATTACCAATGCGGTATCCTATTAATCAGATCAATTCCAGTTCTGAGGGGGTTACACTCTCACCTTAGGATGAAGAGAAGTGCTCACAGTTGTGTGTGAGTGTGTTGTTGTTTTTTTTAGCATGCAGTGTGATGGCACTTTCTAAATTTTCACAGCGGGTGTATCAGGAGGAGATCTAAGTTAGGCGCTTTGTATACTGATGCTATATACTGATGCTATCTTGGTGTCTATTTTAATCCAATTAGCACACCTCCTTTCAAACTCCCGTCATCTAAAGGCTGTTTTCTTGTTGATTGTTAATAAAGTTTTTTGATATAAATGTCAGATTTYGTTCATGTTAATCCATTACAAAGCACATGTCTGGTCACATGCCTGACATGTCCTTGCAAGGTGGCAAGACTTGAGCTCACATTGATACAAGTGCATAAAAGTTTTAATGGTTTTTTTTTTTTTTTTGAGTCTCAAAGAGTTTTCTCTGTAAAAGGCTTACTTTGAGCTCCTCAGCCTCAGGGCTGGTAGAATGTGTTCTGACTAACTGGGTCACTTCACAGTGGAATATCCTTCATTTTTATACTTTTTATTCCTTATAAAATTGACGGGGTAGACTTCCCAAATTGACAGAGAATGAGTTGGATTTTACAGTAGCATTTTTTACACTTTTCGATGAGTCTTTTCTGAGATGAGTTTGGCTTATTTGACTGCGGACACCTTTTGGGCCATCTAACTTCATACTTGCTTTAGGACATTGAACTATATGTAGAGTTAACGTAAATATCCTTTTACCAACTCCGCTCTTGCTCACCATCAAAGGAAAAGAGGGAATAACCTGTTAAAAGAATGTCCCAACACAGACGAGCTAMWTCTAATGGCCAGAACTCTGCAGTTTTCACTCATTTACAGGCSAGCGGTCACTCTTTCAGMGATGAGGATGTTCTCATTCTTGATAGGGAGGAACGTTGGTTTGAGAGAGAAGTAAAAGAAGCCATTTTTGTAAAGAAAGACCGTCCATCATTAAACAGAGGTGGAGGCCTCTGTTTTCAGCTGTCCCCCTCCTACAGCGCTGCCATTGGCAGTATCACTCCACCCCCTGTTAACAATAGGTATTAATTAGGTGTGAACGATAGCCATGTGATGTGAGTATGAGTCACCTGTGAACGATGGCCATGTGATGTGAGTATCAGTCACCTGGAGGCAGGACTCAAAAGCCTGAATTTTGCCTGAAACTCAGACTGAAGAAGTCTCTCGGAAGAGAGACGAAACGTTTCATTAAAGAACCCGTCCAGAGGACCTATACAATTTTTTTTCCTTTTAATAACCTGTTTGTTGGTGTGTCCATCTGTCTGTTAGCAAAATATCTCATGAATCACTGAATGAATTTTTCAGAAAGTAATTGGGTTGACATCTGTTTCACTTTTGGACTCAACCCTATTGAAGATGACAGCCACAGCTAAGCAAGTTTGCCCGAATCTGCTGTAGCTTCACCTTATCTCAATGTAAGATGGTCTCAGTCTAAAACTATGGCATGAAAGATGGTGGGCAATATGCATTCTAAAAAAAAGGGTTAGGCCTTTAATTTATTTCATTGCACAGTGTTTTCCTTTTAGATCTGAAGACAAAATATTCTCATTAAAGCTTTTGAGTTAATGGTATTGCGTAACTGTACACTTCTCGTGGCATGGCAGTTATGTCATATAAAGCCGTGAATAATTATCTTTTCGTTTAGAATAAAATGGCAGTATAATCCCTGAGCACATTATGGCACCGTCTGTCAGTCCTAGTGTTAGCTTTTTTTATTTGTTKTTGCCCGGGGTTAACCCCTCTGGCAAAGATTTGGTGCTGATGTGCTTAAGATCACAGGAATTCAGACTTGAGATGTCAGATCATTAAAGGTTATATTTGTGCAGGAATTTGGTATCAAACTTGGATGAGTCTTTGGATGTAAAGAAATTGAGCCCATCAAACACAATTTTTTATAAATTGCCTGAAAACATATGAAGTTTCTTGTATGYAACATGCTCAAATAAAAGAAAAGGTACAAGAGAGTTTAGGCTTTTTTTTGCGAAGACACTTTTGTTCTTTTTTTAAAAATATTTATTCACAACTTTTTGTAAATAAAGAAAAAGTTAACCAGGGTTTGCCAGATGTGGGACGTTTTACTGCCTGTGATGTTTTGCGAAAACAGTTAAATGAAGTCGTTGCGAACCCAGCCCGTCAGAAAAATGATGCAGTTGCTGTTGATTCTGGGTCAGCTCTTTGAAAACTCTGTTTACTATCCCCTTGATATACATGACCTAATGTTGAATTAGTTTTGCCTCACAAGGGAGGAAAATATAAAAAATCACTTTTGATGTGGCTGGCAGCAGAAGTGTCCCAAAAATAGCATCTAACAGTTGGTACAATATATTTAGAATTGTTGCGATTTGTGTTCAACTTCGTCCAGGGTGGTGATTTTTAATGCTTTATTTAAATGATTGCTCTTAGTCTTACTTCAATGTGATGTGTGTGTGTAAGGGAGGTCTGTGCTTTTGATTTTGGATTCACAGCTGCTTCAAAACGTCCAGCGCGAAGCTCAAAACTGGCCAAGATTGTCCCGAATCTTCTTGGAAGGTGAAACCACGTTGACTGCGTCGCCCTCTGAAAGGCTCTTGGATCATGCAGCACAGATGGCAGAAGCTGTGCTGCAGAGGCCTGGTGGGAGTCTTCTGTGCTCAAGTGTTGTTACACGTCCTCGTTTCTCTTTCCAAGTGGGAACCTGTGCGCACGGTTTCGACTTCCAAATAACCAACGTGATTGTCGACTGCTTTCWGTCAGCCAGCTGATGGGACGAGTGCCTGAACGTTTGAAGCCTATAAATAGAAACAAACTGTCGCTGTGGGACATTTGATCTGGTGCATAATGTATTACTACAAGAAGTTTAGCTGGAGCATCTATTTCTGTCTTCGTGAACAGAGACCTTTTTTTTTTCTTTTGAACTACTGCTCATCGTTTCAGCAAAATTTAGGATTTATTAACTGCTGCTTTTTTTTCTTTTATTATTTTGTCTGCACATAAAATGTCAGTCAACACAAACTCTGTTGGTAAAACTATTGGAACAAATGCGGTATATTTAACTTAGGTGTTGTTAGGAACTAAAAGATCTGTGGCCCATGAGAGTTCACCTGCTTTTGCTCCTGATTATTATTTTTTTATTCCATTCTTTTTGAATGTATTTGATGTATTTTAAAAATGTTTTATGTGCAGACCAAGATATTTTTTAAAAGTCTGCAATTTTCAAACCAATAGAAGAGGCTATAATGCTCTTGATTAAAGAGCACAGTCTACTTTGAATTTACCGTATTTTGGAGGATTTCTTTGTACATTATTGATGGCAGAGCCTCTCCATACTGCCTGTGTGATGGAGGAAACTGTAAATATGTCCTGGGTTTTGAAAGATTTCTGTATATTTCCACAGACCCTGCGTGCTAACATGTTTACCTAGTAGGACTGTGTACGATTTAGTTGGCTCAAAGTGTATTAGTGGTGTGATATATATCTTCCTTTCATTGAGCTCTGCTGGTCAGGTCAGATCTATTTTTCTGCCTGCCAAGCTCTTTAAAAGCTCTGTGAAAGCATATTGTGTTCCTATGACAACCGGTAACTATGAGCTGCTGCTGTTCCAGCATCTTTCAGCATCTCTAGTACAATGATGTCTAGTGTTTTTATTTTTTTTTTAATTTATTTATTTTGAAGGTCTCTTTTGATAATGCTTTCTAGCTTTGTCTTCCATCTTCATTGTGTCTTCACAAATAACAAACCTCAAAGTTTTCTGTTTCAGGTACTCTCCTCTTTTGTCTGAATGGTCGGTTTTCGCTCTGAAAAAGCCAAGAAATTATTATTTAGGATCTAATATAAATCTTTTTGTGAACATTACAGTGGCTGTATCTATATTTGGTATTTTGCATTATTTTGTTTGGCTGTTTTTGGCTTTTATAATGTTTTTATTCACATAATCATCCACACAGAAACACATAAAACAACTAAAAATGCTATAGTAACTTTGCCAGATTTGTAAGTGACACTTTAACGCTGCAGTGCAAAAAATATGCATTACAAAAAAACTGAAACTGTGTGGAGCATGCACATAAAGGTTGCTAGGTGCAAAATGTAAACCCAATAAGAAGATGAAACTGTCTTTTGTTAGTTTGGTTAGTGGGGGCTGTCATAATAATGATGATGATGATGATGATGATAATAATACTTCAAGATTTGTTCACTCTGTCACCAGTTTTGGACTCCAGAAATATTGTGGGAGAATGACCAAGGTTAAACAAATCATTAAACATTAATGGGCTTACACAATTTTCTTTAATAATCTTTTCTTCGTTTTATTTGCACCTCCAGCTTTGGAGAGGAAGATGTCACTGCGACAGAGCAGAGATGAGCTCATCAAGAGAGGGGTGCTGAAGGAGATCTTTGAAAAAGGTGAGCTGATACCGCTCCGTAGTTCTAGTCTCATTTAACAAAGCTGGAAGCCATCCCAGTTTTAAACAGAAAAAAAAAAAAAAAAAAACGTGGTGCGTAGAATTTCAAGGTCTAATTATTTATCTTGCTTTTATATCAGTAGTCTCTGAAGTTCATTTTTTTTATGATTTGACACAGTCCAGTTAGAGATAATCTTTCATCACAGGGACTTTTGGAGCGCTCGGTTTAAGTGTATATTTGAGAGATTTTTTTTGCCTCGGGGTGTCGGAGAAAAAGGAAGAAGCTGGCACTTAACAAGTGGAAAGACAAGATAAGAAAACGTGCAATGTTTTTTTTTTACTTTATTTAATAGTGTTACAAATTAAGTCAAAGTGGTAGATGCATGGTTTAAACTGGTTTAAACCAGACCCTATGCCTCAAAATGCTTTTCAGTGAATTCTGTCCACCTTTCACTCAGTTTTACAATGTGCTGTGCACTGAATTAAACAAAATTATTGTCTATAAATCTCTCTGAATCATTTTGTTTAAACCTTAAAAGAAGAAAAAGTATTTTTGTGCGGTTATGTCTGTCTGAGGTATGTTTTTTTCCCCTCCCTCTGCTTTAGCAACGGTTGAATTTCGATCCTCGATGGACGGCAGTGTCTGCACTCAGGAGCCCTCTGTTAAGTCATCTATGGTCTTACCCACCAAGAAATCTGTCACTTATCAGAGTGACCATCAGGATACTCCGGCCAAGCCACCGCTTTATCACAAACAGCCACCTGCTCTGCCTCCAAAACCTTTCTCTAGGATCCCAAACCATAGCACAGGCAAGTTTTTATTTTATTTTTTCCCCCTTTTTTAGATATATATTCCCAAGATCAGCTGCAAACTGCTTCATTATCTGAGTTAGTCAGAAGCAGTTCACAAGCTGTGATTGCTTGTTCTTAATGCACCTGTAATGCCACACGTGTTCAAAGGATTAGTCTTACAAACCCCCCCTGTGGTTAACTCAGCTTTGTGTCATTATCAATCTGTCAGCATCGAGAACCGGCATCACCCTGCCCTAAATCTCACCACTCTACATTGACGTCTCAGTCATTATTGATGAGCTTGTATTTAACTGTTTGCACTGGTTCCAGTAAATGGAAATAATTAATTTTTTTTCCCCTTCCCTTCTTAAATTCCCTMAAGATCCTTGCCATCCTGTGAAGTTGCCCTGCATGCCCGGAGGAAAGCACTCTCCACCCCTGCCTCCCAAGAAAGTGATGATTTGTGTGCCTCCGGGGGGGCTGGACTCCTCCCCGTCGCCGTCGCCGAGTCCCCTCAACACGCTTCCACCAAAGTGCGGCCCTCCGCAGGGCATGCCGCCGCACCACGGCGCGCTGCTGCCCTCTCAGATCAGCGGACTGTCCGGGTTCCACCAGAGCCACGGCCACCCGCTCCAGCTCCAGTACGGCAGCCTGCACGGCCCCAGCCGCATCATCGAGGAGCTCAATAAAACCCTGGCGCTCTCCATGCAGAGGTTTGAAAGGTCAGCGCTCCGTTACTCGTCCGCTGTGTTGGCRGTTTTGTTCAAAAGCGACACAAACGCGACTAATCGTTTCAGAAAAGCCTCGAGTTTTGGCGCACGGCGGCATTCAAGTAGCAACTGACTTTCAAAATATTTTGTGCTTGTTATCGAGGTCGCATCCTGCCCGTTCCGTTGTGCTGCTGCACAGGTCTAAATCGGCACACTGCCTCACAGGGCAGCATGGCCTCATTTTTTGTTTGAGTGAAAGTGTGTATGTGTGGGCAGTGGAGTAGGCGTCCCTCCAGCAGTTGGCCTGACATAACATGACCAGCTGCTCTTGACAAGAGCTGCGTTTTTCTTCATGTTTAGGAGAAAGAGGGACACAGTAGTAGATTGGACATTATATAACCTCTTACATTAGGATCTCTTTTTCAACCAAAGCCATTTGGGCAGGGATAAGGAGGTAATGCTCCTGTCAGAGCTCACAATTAGTCTGAAAGCTTAGACTGGTTGCGTAACCGCGGCTCATCATAAAAGGCTTCAACTGGACTGTTAAAAAAATTATTCTATCAAGAATATTACCAGTGAACCTGTGATACCTCCTAAACATGAAGCTTATTCTTCTTTTCTTTTTCTTTTTTTTTACACTGGTTTAAATGTTGCAGGCTCCATAATCTGGTGCTGYTTTGTTGTGCAGAGAATTGCAGGGTATTGCGTAGGACTGCACTAAATGTGTTTAGTTTGTATTTAGGCTGCCTTATTCATCCGGAGCTGCACAAAACATCTCTCCTTCCTTTGTGCCTGAATTAACAAGCTTCTAAGCTATCGTTGCACATTGTAGCAGAATCGTATTTTATGTTTTAAGTCACTTCCTACATGGTTTGAGAAGATTTGCTGGGATTATTCTATCAATAAAGAACTTTTTAAAATAAAGAATAAATGCAAAATAAATGTTAACAACTTAATGTTTTTTTCCCCTCCACTTCTGTAGCTCTGCTTTGCTTGGTAGCATTCAGTGTGCGCCCCTTGAAAGAAGAGAAGTGCCCTCCGTGATAATTGACTACGAGGATGACAAGGAGAACTTGCCCAACGAGTCTGATTACGAAGATCTGCCAAGCATGTATAAGGACGAGGAAGATGATGAGGATGACGATGACGACGATGAGGATGACGATGACGACGATGAGGATGAC